CCAAATGGTATTAAAGTTGTAAGAATGAAGGCCACAAATTCTCAAGTGGTCTCCTTCTAAGAACAAGGGTGTAGAATCTCAAAATGGTCTATCTTGGTCTGTAGGTTTTCACACCCTCAGAATGAACACGTGCTTTGATTGTCAATTACCACCTCTCGGCAGTCAGAAATTCTGATTTTGATTTCATGCATGCTCATATACCATAACAAAGCTCATTCATGGTGCTTCTATATAATTGCCTCTTTTCCCATACCCCCATTCAAGAGTTTTGCTCACTTTATCTTCCCCACTCCACCTTTATAACAAGTTCTGTTGGTTAGTTATGAGGCATTTTTCCTGCCATTAGCTTTCTGAAACTATAGATTGAAGATGAAATGCAATACAAGACTTGCAAATTTGATCGGAAGCATGCCACTTAAGTCCTCAAAATTCAGATAGCCCATGATGGAGCTAAATTTAAGCAATGGGATAAGTTACCCCACAAATTTACTATGAAGCTTACTTGAGTTTAGTGCTTAGTACATCAATAAACATTTAGAAGATAAAGAATAAAATCCTGGAGTAAGCCTAGAAGTGTTAATCAGCCTTTTCATTGGCTAAATCAACTTTCAACAAACAATTTACAAAGATCATATGTTAACTTTTTCCTCAAACTGCCGTGAACAAGATCTAATCACATCATTGGCGATGCTTCTTCTCACTTAACTCGATCAGCGATAATATGAATACACATCCAGGGTACTACTATGTATTAGAGTTTTCAAAAGTACATGAGGTGTACTCATTGATGCGGGCATTAAGAAACCTGAAAGCTTACAATTTTAGTGCCTTTAGCCTTTTTTACGCCTAGGTTCATAAAGCTTGAAGTTTGGCCTCTAATACTAGCCACGCTTTACACTTTTTAGAATACTGGTGATTACTGATTACTATGTTAATTAATCACGAGGCAATTGAACAAAATATCCACTTCCACTTCATTAATCCATTTTATGTTTATAGTTGCAGATTGAGGTTCTAGTTTCGTTGATAAGTCCTATTAAGTAACTTTAGAAGATTTTCAATTTATTATGAAATAATTTTATCTAGGTCGTGTCTGGGCGCACGGTTAATCTGAATTCGGGGCGTTAATAATCAACAATTAGACCGTTGCTTTCTTTTTTTATTCAAGTTAATCTGACAACAAGTCGGACCATAAATCTAGATTTTCCCAATTTACCCCCCCATTACACGCCTCAAAGTTGCAATAATTTGAGGTGAGAGAAATAAGCAGCCTGGAGGATAATATGGTAATTCAATGCCAATTTTTAATATTACCTTACAAGAGTTTGCTGTGGGCCCGTCTGATTTGAGAGGAAAATTGATTTTTGATTCTAAAATTGCGCCCGGACACGCACCTACTATAGTTTTTGAATTACTTAATTGGCTCATGTTGAGGCATACGCATCAAAGAACCTTGAGGCATCTACTTCTGTCCCAAGGAGGCAAAATGCCATAACTAATTTATGCCTTTCTAAGAGCTCGTTTGGTAAAAGAACAAAATCCAATTAAAATTGAAAATATAGCCATTATTGGGTCCACTCATCTAATAAAAGTTTACAATAACGGCTAGTTTTTCAATTTTAATCCGATTTTAATCTCTACCGAACACGCCCTAATTATTGAAAGGTGCTAAAAAAATAATGCCTCGTGGTCAGTAATGAAGATGCGGATATCAATCGGATATAAATTGTAACTCATGGCGGTCAAAAAGATAAAAAGAAGTGGTTGGCTAATAAAACAACTCAATTTGTATGAACATTCTTGAACTACCTGC